GGGTCTCTACAACTCACTTATCATGGGCACCCAAAACTTTCCAGTCTTTCACTGATACCTCACCCATCCCCTCCTCTCAAGACCACTGCCATTCCAGTCTCTGAATCCATGAGTCTAACTTAGAATTATCCTGAAAGGTATCATGTCATATCTGCCCTTCATTGTCTGGTATAGTTTTCTTTACATAATAGTCTCCATAGTCATTCCATCTTGCTTTTGGAAGGATTTTATTTTCATTTTAAGACTAAATAATATTCCATTCATATGTTTATATAACATATTTATCTGTCATCTCTCAGTGGACATTTATGTTTGTCCCACATTTTGACTACTATGCAAAATGTGTAACAGACTAAAAATCTTTATTTCTTTGTTAAAGGACACAGGAAATTTAACACAAAAGGAACAACTCATCCTCTCAATAAACTCACAGGTGATCTGGACAGACCCTTCTCAAGAGAAACTCAGGTGGCCAGTGTGTGTACTCCTTCATTATTCTTAACCAGCAGGGAATGCAAGTCAGAACTACTTTGAGATTCTGACTCATCCCAGGGAATGTCTGTCATCCAGAACACAAACAAATAATAAATGCTGAGGAGAATTCATGAGATAAAGCCCTCTAGACACTGTTGTTGGAAAGGTAAATTATCACAGTCACTGTGTGAAGTGGCATTGATCAGGGGTGATGAACCAATGGCACTTGGGCCACACTAAGTTTTTTGTCATCGTGGAAAGCTCTAAAAGGTTCACCATCTCTGGTCTAGATGCTTCCTACAAATCTAAAAACAGACCTACACTTTCACCCAACTAGACACCTTAGACATGTTGCAGTGTGTGCCCAAATGAGCAAAGCCGTCCCCTTATAGAAATACAGCAGCACCTTGGTTTACAAGCATAATTTGTTGTAGACTTTGGGACAGATGGCTGCTTTTGTGTTGTGCGGAGAAGTTGATCACAGTCGTGTTGTCACCCGATGGGCAGCTGGTGAACAGAACAGTTTGTGAACAATCGAAGTATTGCTGTCCCTGCGGGCCCCCTTTTATCACTGCGCACTTCACAGGAGCCAAGCTGTGGAACCAGGCCAATGGCCCATCAACAGGTAAATGGACTGAGAAAACGTGCTGCATGCGCACAATGGAATATCACCCCACCAAGGAAAACAGGGCCGCTTCACTGGCGGGGCAGGAGACGGAACTAGAGATACCATGTCAATAAAAGTAAGCCGGGCTCATAAAGTGTTGCATGCTTCCTTTCAAACGTTGACCCTAGAAAGTAGGGATGATGTGAAAGTAGAAAGAGACAGGGAA